AACATATATATCCCTTTATATGAAAATTTGGTATTGAATTCCAGTGCCTATTTGTAAACAACAGATTTGCTTCACTCACTCAGTTAAAAGGAAAAAAACCCTACCTAGAGCAATTCAAATTACTGACGGTACTGAATCATACAAATCACTGACAGAAGAATTAATTAATCTATTGATAACTGAGTGTTCATTATGCAAGTATACTCAACTTCAGAATAGGGGAAAAAGAGCTCATAGTTTGGTAAGGGAGCTAAGTTATACCATTTCAAAACGGGTATATTATTGTGAGAAGTAAACCTAAATATTTCAGACCACTGCTACTCAAAGTGTGGTTGACGACCAGCCGGGTTTGCATCGCCTGGACACTTGGTGAAAAGGAAGAATCTCAGCCCCACCCCTTGATCCACTCAGTCAAATCTGCATTTTTAACAAGATCTGCAGGTGATCTGTATGTTTGAGAATCACTGCTGGAGAAGGCCAGAGGAAAGAGGAATTATATCCAAGAGAGTGCCAGAGCGTCTAAAAAAAAGTAGGTTTTTGTGACCTGTTTTGGGAAGCTCATTCTAAGTTCCATGCTACCTCTTTTAAAAGCCCCTGGGCTTGACCTTTTAAAATTTCCAATCAACAGAATTTTCTCTGAAGAAACTACTCAGACTCTCTTTGGAAATCAGTGCTTTGAGAAAAATTTTCCTCACCATTCTAGGGAATGTTTATGTTTTCTTTGTAAATTCCCTGGACATTGTCATTTCTTTATTGTCTTCAGTCTAACCTTCCATTCACTATCAGTATCACTATATTACTGGTATTTTTGAGAGGAAATATACAGGACCCCTCTCAGATTACATCTACACCACACACTTTATTCTGCATAGTCTCAAAGGGCCAAGCAAATCACCACCCAAACCTTTATAACATTTCCGATCATTGCTATTTACCACTTGGACCAAAGAATTACAGATCTTAGAGTTGGAAAGACCGCAAGAGCTCAGGTCATTTAGACAGAATAAGGTCACCATATTACCGAAGAGATGGCCAGGATTTAGAAAAATTTAAAAACTAGCCAAAGCTTACTTCCTAGAGCACAGGAGGACAAATTTGAACTTGGCCAACAGGCCTTATATCATGCCTTCCTTCCTCTTTGCATTTATTGTTCAATTTATGAGTATTCTCTGCAATCACACACCTGCATGATCATTAGCTCCAGGTCCAGCTATGCATTAATGTCTAGACTTTTTAGTCTGGTCCTATGGGTCCCCAAAGCCTCCTAAGACAGCCTTGGTCTTCTTTAACTCATTTACTACTTCTTTTTTAAGTACAGTCCTTATTACTAATTGGCTGATCCAAATGTGTCCAACAGCCTAATTTATATGCCAAGGGCCTCTGCTCTCTGGTGTTGATGACCAAGTAAATAATAGCACAGTTTACTAAGTGCTTACTAAATGTCTAACCCTTACTAAATTGCACTAAACCCTTTTCACACATGTTTAAAAAAGGGGTATTATCTAGAGATGCTTAATTTCCAGAGCAGGGCCCAGAATTCAAGTCCAGATCTGTCTGGGTTTTTTAATTGTACATTATGAGAAACTAATTACTATATTTTTAACTTAGTGAACTTAATGTATTATTTAATACTCTTTAGCAAAGCAAGGGAGTTATATGCATTAAAGGTATGTATTTATTAAAATATACTTACTTAAAAACTTTATAACATGAAAAGCCATTCATTTCACAATTAAACAAATGAATCTTAAGGCATCGGATAGAACTTCTACTAGAAGGGTTGAAAACTCTCAAGAGGCTATAATTAAAGAATAAAGACTAGCACATGCAAAATCAAGTAATATAAAATATTATCTCTGAAAAAGATACACATAAATGTGAAGTGTTAAGCTATGACTATTTGATACAAATTAAGGGAAAAACATTGTGTCATTACTGAGTAAATTAATAGAAAATTATCATTTGATTTATGTACCTCCCTCCAAAACAGCATATGTATGTTTCAACAAATTGGACCACCTGGATACATGCTGGCTGTTCTAAGTACACTGGTTTCTTCCTCTCTGCATGGTAGAACATATATAGTTGTTTCTCTCCTTTTCCCCTAAGTTTCTTCTGCTAATACAGTGATATGCAGCTAGTTCTTCTGCACATACAGACACACTCTTCTCTTTCAGTATTTCCATAAAGCCAGGGCTTTTGCCAGATTTGTGCTTAGCATATGTAGACAGGTCTTTTCACCTAATTAAAGCTAAGCTTCCACTGCCAAAGCAGAGGACAAAATCCTCCCCTCAAAACTGGGTGTTCTCATGCTGAAGAACAAAGAAGGAGAAAAATGACTTTACAGCAGAGTTTTATTTTTTAATAACACAGCAGAACACACTAAAATTATTCAACTACTAGCATATTATACTGGATGATAAAAATAAATGAACTGAAGTTCCTGTTTTCAAGATCTCTCCCTTTAGTCTCAGCTACATTGAAAATACACAAAGCAGCTTTTAAGGGAACTTATGTTCCTATCGTTGATTCGTGTTTTCTCCCAGAGACCCACTTCTTCTCGCAAAGTGGAAATTTTTTCTATTTCTTAATATTAATGTCTGATAAGATAGCCTCCAAGGAGTATTAAATATGGTTAACAGGTTAATGATTGTGACCAATTTTAAAAATTAACTTTGAGATAAAATTTTTTATATAGTAAAATTTGCCTTTTAAGTGTACAATTTGATGAGTTTTGACAAATGTCCAGTCATGTAACAGCCACCAAAATCATACTAAACATTTCCATCAACCCTACAAGTTTTTATGTTCCTCTTTGCAGCCAGCTCCCTCCCCCCACTTCCTGCTCTTCCCCAATCTGTTTTTCAACTGTGCTATTTCTAAAAATCTGTATAAATGGAATCATATAATATGTATCTTATTTCTCACTTATTTCTGTTAGTATTTCTGTTAGTATCATGATTTTTTCAAACATGGCCATTTGAAAAAAATGCCCATGTTGTTGTTTGTATCAAAAGTTTTTTTCTTTTTTTGCTAAGTCTATTCCATTGTGTGACTATGCCACAATTTGTTTACCAGTTTGCCAGCCAAAAGGCATGCGGTTTCTCTTCAATTTTTGGTCATTGTAAACAAAGCTACATTGAACATTAAGATACATGTCTTTGGGTGGGCATATGCATTCATGGATCATAAAGTCAACATATATATCCCTTTATATGAAAATTTGGTATTGAATTCCAGTGCCTATTTGTAAACAACAGATTTGCTTCACTCACTCAGTTAAAAGGAAAAAAACCCTACCTAGAGCAATTCAAATTACTGACGGTACTGAATCATACAAATCACTGACAGAAGAATTAATTAATCTATTGATAACTGAGTGTTCATTATGCAAGTATACTCAACTTCAGAATAGGGGAAAAAGAGCTCATAGTTTGGTAAGGGAGCTAAGTTATACCATTTCAAAACGGGTATATTATTGTGAGAAGTAAACCTAAATATTTCAGACCACTGCTACTCAAAGTGTGGTTGACGACCAGCCGGGTTTGCATCGCCTGGACACTTGGTGAAAAGGAAGAATCTCAGCCCCACCCCTTGATCCACTCAGTCAAATCTGCATTTTTAACAAGATCTGCAGGTGATCTGTATGTTTGAGAATCACTGCTGGAGAAGGCCAGAGGAAAGAGGAATTATATCCAGGAGAGTGCCAGAGCGTCTAAAAAAAAGTAGGTTTTTGTGACCTGTTTTGGGAAGCTCATTCTAAGTTCCATGCTACCTCTTTTAAAAGCCCCTGGGCTTGACCTTTTAAAATTTCCAATCAACAGAATTTTCTCTGAAGAAACTACTCAGACTCTCTTTGGAAATCAGTGCTTTGAGAAAAATTTTCCTCACCATTCTAGGGAATGTTTATGTTTTCTTTGTAAATTCCCTGGACATTGTCATTTCTTTATTGTCTTCAGTCTAACCTTCCATTCACTATCAGTATCACTATATTACTGGTATTTTTGAGAGGAAATATACAGGACCCCTCTCAGATTACATCTACACCACACACTTTATTCTGCATAGTCTCAAAGGGCCAAGCAAATCACCACCCAAACCTTTATAACATTTCCGATCATTGCTATTCACCACTTGGACCAAAGAATTACAGATCTTAGAGTTGGAAAGACCGCAAGAGCTCAGGTCATTTAGACAGAATAAGGTCACCATATTACCGAAGAGATGGCCAGGATTTAGAAAAATTTAAAAACTAGCCAAAGCTTACTTCCTAGAGCACAGGAGGACAAATTTTACTGGCTCTTCCTCCAGCACAATTCCAGACTCGTGGGTACACAGTAATAACACACGAGTCTTTGCTTTGCTCCAGTATTCTCCAATCTCCATGGTTTTCAGTTCCTGAACCACCTACCTTAGGTAGCGCGGCATGGGCCTGGGTTTCACTGTAACTTTGCTTGTGCATTTGGGTCTCCTCTTCCCCCTCCGCACACCTAAAGACAGGTGTTTGCAAGCTCTTCTATTAAAACTATTTCCTAAACTTGCATTCTCAGCTGATAGCAATAATCTCTAATCTTTCTCTCCTTTAAACTAGCCCACATGCTGTACCAGGCATGAAATCCTCAAAGCCCAACCCTCATGCTGTACCCACCCCACAGGAAAACCTTCAGTGGCTTCCCATTCTCTGCCAAATGAACACAAAATCACATAGCCTGGCTTTTAAGATTGCAATAATTTGTTCCTTCCATCTTCTTATCTTCTCCATGCAATTTATTCTTTGTAGGGAGCAGCCTAATTCTGTGTTAAGGGTGTCTGCCTGGCATCCAGACCCCCTGGGGTTGAGTCTCAGCTCTACTTCTGACTAGTTTTAGGACCCTGAGAGGTTGCTTAACTTCTTTATACCTCAGTTTCTTCAGCCGTAAAATGGATAATGATACTACCTAACGGAGTGACTGTAAGAAGTAAATATAAAGCACTTAAATGTCTACATGGTAAGAACTCTTCTTATCTTATTTTAATTTTCCTTTTAAAGCTAATCAAGTATTAGCTGTCCAAACACCCACCAAGCCCTCACTAAAAACTAACTTCATAACATCCTGGTAAGAGCCTAAGAAACTCATGACATCATGCTAAGAGTAGCCTCAAAACACTGAACTTAAATAACTATACTAGCTATTATTTCTGCACATGCATTTCAACATTTCAAAGTATCTGTGAAAGGAAACCTTGCTTGTCTGCTTCTGAATATACAAGGACAGGCACTCAAGATGATAGTAATTCATTAGAAAAACTCATCTTAGAATTAGACCCTATTTCTGGCTATTGAGAAAATGAGGTCCAGAGGGAGCAAGAATCTTACATAGCTTGTTAGCAGCAGCTTCCGCAATCATTGTGATGCATGTAATGTTCTAGTTTTAACTTCAGAGTTTTCCTGCTCTTTCACTTCCAAATTGGTTTCAATCAGTCCCAAAGAAGGCCCATTCAGATTAAGAATAAAAATAGTATTTAAAACTTCCATAGCTCAATTTCTGGATACGCTGAAGAGTCACTGGTTACAATTTATTAATAGTCTCATAGGCCCTCTGGGCACATACTAAACCAGTAAGAGATCATTTAACAGGCCCTCTGGGCACATATTAAACTAGTAAGAGATGTATTAACAGACCCTCTGGGCACATGTTAAACCAGTAAGAGATAAACAGACCACTGTACACAAAAAAGGAGAAGGCGACATTGTCTAAGAGCATTTCAAGTGTCAAACTTACATCTAAGAAGTCTTAGACAATGGTAGTGTTACATTTACTTACCTGTACTTTGAAGAAATCTGTTTCCCAAAGGCCCCTGTTTCTGAAGGAGATAGTGTGGTAAGGGTGCTGAAGGGTCAGGAGGCTGTCTGATAAATTCTCGGAACCACTCTGCTAGAAATTATCCAAGACAAAGGGTTGTGCTCTTTACTTGCAAGGGCTGAAACAAGACATGAAGACAGCATGTTTACAAGAGTGGCTCAGCTACCCAAGAAAAATGTTACAGCACCAAAAAAATTTTAATGAAAACACTGTTCAGTATGCTCACTTCTGACCCCTCCCAAAATGCTTTACAGGATGATGAAATTACCAAAAACAAAACAAAAACTCCAACAGCAATACTAGGGACACATATTACATTACTGCATTTCATGGCTAGTTATCCACAAGATCCAGCTGAGTCCCCTTGAAAAAAATAACATATCCAGCTCAATTAATCCACAGCAGCCTGGTAATGAAAGAACCATCTGTCTTATTTTTCAGCTTCCCTCCACACATACACACAGCTTTATTGTTAAATGCTGAGGTGAGAGAAGGAGCTGATGTTCTGACAACCCTCAGGGAGGAAGGGGGTAGGGAGAAGGAGAATGAGGAGAAGGTCAAGGAGAATAAAAATATGTAAGAGAACATAGTCTACAGGCACACACCTGATCATCTACAATTGCTCTCTTACAACACTAAACTATGTTTTCTACCTTTATCTTGCATCTACCTACCACTTCAGCATTTTATTAAAAATAAAAATAATAATAATAATAAAGGGAGAAATGTGGGATCCACATATAAATCAAGTATAAAAATCAAATGAATATTCATATTTGACCTGATTGTTTATAGTTCATAATGTGTGATCAAAACCGAAAGTTTCTATGATGACTGCCCTTGTACTGTTCACCATGTAAGGATTTATTCACTATGTAAGAATTTGTTCACCACGTAAGAACTTGTTCATTATGCTTCAGAAGATTGGAGACTGACGAGAATTAGGCTTGAGATGGATTAATGATTGTGCATTGAGCATTGACTCCCCTATACAGAATTTTATTGTTGTTAACAACCATTTGATCAATAAATATGAGAGATGGCCTCAAAAAAAAATATGTAAGAGAAAGTGAGGAGAAAGGAAGTATGGGGAGATTAGTGAGAAGAGCAACTAGCTTAAGAATGTGCTGTGGCCACTTCCTCAAAAATATTTTGAAAAAAATTTCAACTCCTTCTACAGCTCTTCTTGCACAAGCGTAACCCTGCTACAAAAACAAACAAAACAAAAATTGCATGCCATTTCTTGGGTTGGTAGAAAATAGGTTATTTTTTAAGAAAATTCTTAAGAAACAAATACCAAAAAACAAAAACCAACGAAGATATGTAAATATATTCTTTCAGAAGCTACTACGAAGTCTAATGGCCTGCAATAAGAAAATAATTATGCTTAGTTATTATGAAAACCATACAGTAACTACCAGAATTCTCTGAATTCTACCAAGAACACTTTAAAAAGCTAAGTACACTGAGATGGTGACTATGTGGTAGATGGATGTGTCTGTGGAACATTTCTGAAAGACACCAGAGAAAAACAGTATCTGTTGTGCTGAGTTGTGGATTACAGGGAATATTTTTCTACAAAATTTAAAATGTATAGGGAAATAAAAAACCCTTATTTTCATATATTCCTATATGCATTTTACTTCTGAAGTACTAAGTAGGTGAAGCATTTTGAAATCAGAAGGCACAACAGTACTCTTCAGCATTAATTTATACAATCAAAAAAAGCTATAAAATTTTATAAAATACTCAGAAAATTTTTAAAAATGATTATTTATAAATAATGTGATATTAGTATAAAAGAAGTCATCACCACAAGACAGAACTTTGAACCTAAGGAAATCATGGATAATGATAAATTTGTAGCTCACAAACATTTTCCCAAAATGTATTAAAAGTACAGCTTCAGGGTTTCTATCATCTTCTATCAACTACTACTTCTTACCAGCTGGAGTAAAGGAGCAATCTGAAGCTGGAAGGATCCTTTAAGATTATCTAGTCTGAATAGGTTGGTAAAGAAACCTCAACCAATGTCATACCACAAGTGGCTGCGGGATGCAGATTTAGAAGCTTAAATCAGGGGAAGAAGCAAGATGGCAATATGGAAGGAGTGGGCTTTGAGCTCAGTACGGAAGAACTCGCTAGTATTTAGGTTGCCTACAGATATTATGGCTGCATTATTGGATAATGAGTCACTTGGTACTAAAGATATCCTGTTCTAAAAACCACTTGGGAGGTATTTTTACATGAGGTGCTTAATAAACTTTAATGTCTATTAGCATTACTTGAGCAGCTTGTTAAACTGTCGATTCTGACTGAATAGATCTAGGGGCTAAAATTTACATTTCTGGCAAGCTCCCAGTTGACTGTGGGTAGCTTGATTACAAGCATTAGAATATTATTTAAACCAGTGTTTCGTGAAGTGCACAGTCTTCCAACCATATGGCTTCAAAAGTACTTTCCAATCCTGATTTTGGGGCAGATGCTCAATACATTGGTAACCTAAAGTGGTTATTAGCAGATTTGTGAATCCACAAATTCAAATTTCCAAAAAAAATCAGTATCTTGCAGTACCCCCCAGGTCATACTTTTGAGCAATAACTAATTTTGCACATTTCTAAAGGAAAGATATTTCATTTCCATTTTTTAAAAAGACACTGTTACCCCAACATTAGCAAATAATTGAAATGAAGTAAGTGTTCTCTGGTGAATGAATGAATATATGCCCAGCATTCAAACACACAGTTTTTTAAGATTTTAATATACATACTTAACACAAAAGTAGGATGAGAGAAAATATGGCTCTGAAGTAATTTTTCCCAATGATTTTTTTTTTAAATAAAATTGTGTGTCTCCAAAGGTGGGAAAGAGGGAATTATCCCAAGGCTACAATTTGTAGTCTTCTTTTCCAGTGTAGGGCTTTGCATTATTTTCCCAGCCCTGGAATTTCACCTCCCTACCACCCATCTGGGTCATAAAAATTCTTTTGGTGCTTTGACAGTCCCTGTTTCTTGATTGCTCATAATTTGCTCTGCTCCCCCTTCTAACAGATTTGGGCTTTCAATCAGTTCAAAATCTTGTATGATGCCTTTCCTTGAGAAATATGCTAATATCTGAATGTGCAGAACTTGCTCAAATTCTGAAGTGTTCTTAGGTTTCTCTCCCAGAGTAAATAAACCCACAACTAAGAGGGATCAAGTTTCCTGCCTCTCCTTGACTCTGAAAGTCCACTTTTCAAAGAAAGGATTTACTGTTTAAGCTTGCCTAAAAGTTATTAGTAACATTCTGATTTATAAAAGCCCTTTTTTCAAACTACTTATTACATCAGTTTATTCTGAACGAACCTAGATTATTCTGCACCTTGGAAAGTACCATGTTTGTTAATTCCTCTTTTGCTATTTTTAAAGGGAAAAAGTAAGTTAGCTTGCAGGTAACCAATCAGATGAGCGTGTATGAGATCTTAAGATTAAACTGTTGGAAATTCTGCTTTCCACAGCAAATGAAAATATGTGATAATACTTTTATTACAATCCATCAGATGATGCTCTAAAGCCATATTACAAATATGATAAAAATCTTAATTTGGGGTACTTCATTATCACAAGTAAACCAATATAGGTAATACATACTTTTTATGAAGTCATATAATCCTGGATTTACTTCCTAGTACTAGTAGGTTCATCTTTTAGACAAAGTGAGTCAAATTTATTTTCTGATAAAATTAACTGTGTACGTTTTCACCTTCTACAATAACTTTGTTCATTCAGTCAATAAGTAATTTCTCAGTGCTTACTCTATGCCTGACATTGTTCTAGGCACAAAAGTTATGGCAGTGAAGAAGAAAAACCGTTTACAATCCAGGAGAAAGGCAGATATTAGCAAGTAGTTCACAAGTAATTATTAAATTACAATCATGGTATGACCAGGCCATGACCTGGGTGGGGAAGGACAGAGAGTTTCTCTGAAGAATTTGAGAAAATTCTCAGAGAATTCTGAGTAGGCATTAACAAGAAGAAATAAGAGTGGAAATGAAAAACATTCCAGGCAGAGGAAACAGCATTTGCAAAGACTCTGAGGTAAGAATGAAAATAGTACACTGGGAAATTGAGGTTGCTCATAGCAGTGATGGTGAAAATAGTAAGAGCTGATTTTTGTCACACGCCTTCTACAAACTCCCAAAGCCCCACGACAGCACTGAGATGAGAACTTTTACTCCAGTTGTATAGATAAAGAGACTGGGAGGCTTAGCGAAGTAGACTTGTCAAAAGTCTCAAGGTTAGAAGGTGTCAAGCCAGGGTTTGGCCTATGCAGTCTGCTTCCAGGGTCCTTATTCTTAACATGTAAGCTATTAGAGCTTCCCAGGAGCCAGGTCAACCTGGAGCTTTCCTCCCGGTCCACATTCACTCCGTCAACTTTCATTTTTCATAGAAAAATCGTGAAATACAGATGTGTTAGGAAAGCTTCAATGGTATTCCCAGAGTCTTGGTAAATGAATGGTTCCTGGTTGGAACCTATTTCATTAGGAAATAGTACATGGTGTTTTCTAAAATTACAAAACATTAATAGAAATCCAAATGTTAACATAATAAATGTCCATGAACCCATTAACCGAAACAACCATATGTTCTCAGGGATTTTTAAAAATGTAGATTATGTTCCCCTCCCTACTCCTTTCTCTTCTCCCAGAGAAGAGAAACGTCATGACTTTAATAGCTAGTCCACTTCTTATTCACACACACGTACACACACACATTCACAAACATATGGTATATATTGTTTTAAGTGATGTTTAACATTAATATAACAAATAATATAATGGTTTGACATTTGTGTTTTTCACTCTACACTTTCGGTTTTGAGGTCCGTCCATACTGATGCATGAATGTCTGGTTCATTCCTCTTAGGTACTGCTGAGTATCCTGCCAGCCAACTACACCACAACGCTGTCCGTTCCCTACTAATAGACATTCAGGTTGTGTTCAGGGAATTACTTATTTAAATGTCATTTTGGAGCCAAATCCGATTTTTCAATCTAGAAAAAAACAGTTTACTAAGACAGTCAATCTTACAAATTGCCAGAAGTACTTTAAAAGTGGAGTTCCACTTCTTAAATAGCTT